ATTCTTTTATTCTTTGGAGTAGCCTTTTCTTGACTCAAATTTGCCTCCGATGCTTTTCTTTTCTACATTTTTCTTATTCCCTTTTTAGGTAAAGGAAATTGAGTAGATTTGGAGTTGAGTTGAAATAATAAGAGTTTTTTCACACAATAAGTGCAAAATCTCTTGGTCCTCCTCTCTTCCTTGCCTCCCCTCTAGGAGAGGGAGAGAATCTTTGTGTGGGGGGGTATAATTGAGACTGAGAATATAATACAAACTAACAAAAGGGCATAAATAGGTTGCGTGGAAGGGGTCAGGATTCTGCTTTTGGACTGCCTACGCTAGTTTTTTTTTTTGTGGAGGCAATAAAAAACCCAAAGATACCGTCAACCCTTTGGTAAAGTTGATAATTTTAAATTAGAAATCTTGATACATATATATTCTAAATATGGAAAATATCTTCGGGATTTTTGTGGGGAAAGGGAGGAAAAATACTAGAATATAAGTTTGATAAGAAACTTTATACAAGGAGTTATCACTTACCTTATTTATTAATTTTTAAAAATTTTAATTTCTGATTAAAATTAGGGGTTTATACGTTTACGATATTAAGTAATTAACTTTTAATGTGAAAAATAAAAACCTAAAAAATGAGAAAAGAAAAGAAGAGTGTTTGCAATTAATCAAGGAGGGAATAGAAAAGAAAAGACTTTTCTTGTGTATATATATCTGCTCATCTACACCATGCCCCATACGTGGAGCTGATGGTATAAAGATGCTCTTAAGGGTCACGCTGAGTGTTTTGGATATACTTTAATTTGCAAACAAACATTCTTTCATAATTTAAATGGGAAAGGGAAATAAAAGGTATAAAGCAGAAGTAGGTATTGATTTCTCCATCATATCACTTCATCAGCATATTTGTAAAGAATGTAGCAATCTAATCCAAACATTTATAGGCCAAGAAAGTTCTAGCTTTGTTATTTTCAACAATGTATTATTTCCATTATATCTTCACACGCATATAGAGTAATTAGGATCTATTTACATATTTATGAGTTTTACATAAAGTTATCAACTGTTGAGTTTAAATTTAACAATTTGATCCTATATTACTAAATATAACACATATATGATGTACGTTTTCGATTGTTAACAATTATATAAGATTTTCACATGTATCAGTAAATCTTGAAATAAGTCATATATTTCAAATATGCAAGATATATTTAAGTATATATTTAGCAAGTATACATTTATATTATGTTGAATATTTGTTCTTGTATACAGAATAAAAGAGGGATATAATGTTCTGGCCTTAGGCTTTTCTTTGGACATCAATTAACGACTTATGAGCTAACTAGTTTTATAAATATAAGAAGTGGTGCAAAAAGATTTCCCACAAAGACACAGAATCTCAACCAACAACAAAACAAACTCCAAGCGAATATGCCATATATTCTGTCAAAATTTAGGGCTGAGGATGAAAAGGTTGGTGTGGAAGGAACTTTTAATGTGCAATGTAATGAAAGCTTAAGTGGAGTTTCATCTAATGATAGGGATGTTAGTGGAGGCAATGCGAGTTTGGTGGGTCATGGAATATTCTAGTTTTCCCTACAATGTGATAATCTTATTTGTTTTAACTTTAGTCTTGCAATGCCAAGGATTTATGCAAAGAAAATTAAAAGAAGTGTTGATGTTCATAATTAGAGGTGTTGTTTAGCAAATGGAATGTTTTTTTATATGAATGAGTTACACAATCAAAGGTACGTAATCATAGATTCAAAGATTAGAAATCAAGCTCTACATACTTTTTAGGCTTTATTTTGCATGCATACTGGTTTGAAAACGATGGGGCGGTGCCAAAGCACCTCTTTTCCATGTTTATGCGAAGCCAATAAGAAAACAACCATGTGAAGGGTCTTCATTGTCTGAGAGGCAGATTAAAGAGAGAGTAAAGCAAGATTTTAAGAGGGGGAATACTCACTACATGAATTAGGCATCCTCTTTTCTTTTTCTTTTTTTAATTTCATGCCGAAAGTAAATGCCTTGGAAAGATTTGAAGACAATGTATCTGATTCCCATTTCCAATCGCTTTTTAATTTCCCTATTGGATTTTACTACTTTCTGTTTGGGGCTATCATTTTGGAGTATTTGTCTTAGAGGAAATTCGAAAGAGAGACATTACGATTTGGGACATGCAGAATAATTTGTAAATGTTTAAGATTTCATGTCAAGAAAGTATAAGAACTTAAAGTAGTCTATAAAAGTTTATTTTTTATCAATAAATAATTAAATAAAGTAAAACTCAAAGCAAATTAGGTTTGATTGTCAGAATATCATTAATTTTTTATTATTTTTAGATTTTTTATTTTATTTTATTATTTTATTTTATTTTATTAAATTAAAATTTAGAAATATCTATCTGAAAATCATACATAATTATTGGCGATCAAAAAATACCCTTATAAAATGATAATTTTCTTAAGGGATTCATTCCTACAAATAGTGACTTTTTAGGTAATTTCTATATAAAATCAGAATTTTATATATAATTCTGAGAGAATTTTACATTTTGTTGTATATTAAAAGATTTTAAATCATTAAAAAAAATAAGATCAAGTTTTAAAACAATTCTTTTCTATAGCTATTTCATATTTTCTGACAGGACATTCATAAGTGGGATGTGGCTGTGGCGCAGTTGGTCCTAAACTCGCTTTACTTTTCTTTTCTAGTTATTTTTTTTAGGCCAATGCCATTCAGGTTGAATGGCATAAATCAAAAAGCAATTGAAATACATGCGAGGGAAAAAGACTCCTGAAATATTCATGAAGAAAATAGGGCCATGGTTATGGTCGCATAAATTGTTTTTAAGGTCACATATATCTATAGAAAATTTATTTAATTTAATTGATTTTATTAATTTGTAACTAATTTTTTTTTTTTATCTTGATTACACAATAAGAGGTAACTATTTCCTATCTTTTATCTTACCTCACCTGCCTATCATGCGACTCAAATGGAAGACGATCACTTAACTATTTTGGTTGTTGACTAATTTGTAATTAATTAAGATATTTAGAAATGTTAACATATAAATTAATTTTAAATTATTAAATAATAAATTTTAAGTATTTTATAAATCATCAATTAACGGCTATAATTATTAATTGTTTTTGATAATTAAACTACACATATAATTTTTGAGTTATCTTAACAAAAATTAGCGTCGGGATAAGCATTCCCAAAAGATAATAGTGGAAGGAAAACAGGAGAGGAATTTGGAAGCCATCTTTTAAGCAATTCAGTAGTGTGGCAATTACATTATTCTCTGTTATTCATTCTGTCAATTATTAGGTTTAGGGTGCACTGGGGTTTTTGGGTCTAGTGACGTTAGGTCACGTATAAGTGCATTCTCCTACCTTCAGAGTAATAATTCGAATCCAACTCCTTGCAAATTTATTAAAAAAAAAAAAATTTATTGGATTTGGGGTAATTCCATTTCCAAGGATTGTCCAAGTAAACGTTAACAAGTATATAACTAAGGGGACTTAATTTATGCAAGTAAAACTCTATGGTCTAAACATTGAAACCAGTGATATCTTATAGGCTTAAATTAAGATTTTCTATTGATCGGAAGCAACTCGGCCGAGCTTGGCTAATTCAGTGCCGTCGCTGCGTTCAGCTATCTCCGATTGCAGCTCTCAGGTAACTTTCTCGCCATCATTCTAAACTAAACCATTTTCCACTAAGGTTTAATGTCTCTTTCTTCACCATCTCGCTTCTTTTCACTGCGAATTCACGCCAAAATACACTCCATTTCAACTCTGCGATTCGCCTCTGCCTCTGCTTCTGCTTCTGCTTCCGAGGAATTCTATGCCCACCTGCACGAAAACCGTGGCAATGTGGAGAAAACCTTAGCCACAGTCAATGGCAAACTGGACTCTACGTGTGTCCGAGAGGTATTGCATAGATGTTCCCCGAACCAGCCTCTATTAGGAATTAGGTTTTTTATACGGGCCGGTCTTCAATCGAATTACAGGCACAGTGCTTATATGTATGGCAAAGCTTGTGAATTGTTCAAGATTAAGCAAGACCCAGGAGTTCTTTTGGATGTTGTTGAGGCTTACAAAGCGGAGAAGTGCTTGGTTAGTGTTAAGGCATTTAAGGTTGTTTTGAATTTGTGCAAAGAAGCTAGCTTTGCTAATGAGGCGTTGTGGGTGTTGAGGAAAATGTCTGAATTCAACATACGTGCTGATACTACCGCCTATAATGTGGTTATTAGGTTGTTTTGCGAGAAGGGTGATATGGACATGGCTGAGAAGCTGATGAGGGAGATGGGTTTGGTTGATCTTTTTCCGGATATGATCACGTTTGTGTCTATGATTAAGGGGCTCTGTAATGCGGGTAAGTTGGAGGATGCTTGTGGGTTGTTTAAGGTTATGAGGGAGTGTGGGTGTTTGCCAAATACAGTGGTTTATTCAGCACTTCTTGAGGGGGTTTGTAGGTTTGGAAGTGTGGAAAGGGCTTTGGAGTTGTTGGGGGAGATGGAGAAGGAAGGTAGGGATTGTGGTCCAAATGTTGTTACATATACATCTGTGATACAGAGCTTTTGTGAGAGAGGAAAAAGTATGGAGGCATTGGGGATTTTGGATAGAATGAAAGCATGTGGCTGCGCTCCAAATCGTGTGACAGTTAGTACTTTGATTAAGGGACTATGTTCTGAGGAGCTTTTTGACGAGGCCTCTAAGTTAGTTGACCAGATTGTTGCCACTGGTGCTGTTTCAGCTGGTGATTGCTACAGTTCTCTTGTGCTTTCTTTGGTAGCAAATAAAAGGCTTGTTGAAGCAGAGAAGCTCTTCAGGAAGATGCTAGCAAGTGGGGTTAAACCTGATAGTGTGGCATGTAGTATCATGATTAAGGAGATCTGTCTGGAAGGCCGGGTGCTAGATGGCTTCTACTTAAATGAAGAAATTGAGAAGATGAGATTTTCGTTTTTGATGGACTCTAATATCTTCTCAATTCTTTTGGCAGGACTTTGTCAACAAGGCCATTTAGTTGAATCTGAGAAACTTGCAAGGTTAATGCTTGAAAAAGGAATCCAGTTGAAATTACCTTATGCTGATGGAATTGTTGAGAACTTGTAAAAATTTTGGAGACAGGGAGCTAGTTATTCAGCTTGCTAAACACTGGAAAGTGACATAGTGCTTACACGGTTACACACCCATTTCTATGCTCCAAGGGGCTTTCTTTGCTTGTTGAGAAAGGGCTCTTTGAGGCCTGTAGTTTTGCTGAATTCAGGGGGAGGAAGTTCTAGAGAAAAGTTTCCAGCCTTTTCTTTTGCATATAACATCATGGATGTTACCAATTCTTTTGATTATGAGTAAGAAGAAGGAACCTGGAAGTGAATGGCAGAACCACTGAAATCAAAGGCCGGGTATCCACACATGCCAATGAAATTCTACAAGGTTGGGCAGCTGTTTCTAGGCTAATGGCATACTCTCCAACAGCTTAACTGATTTTTTGTCTTCTTCTACTTACTTACTACCTTGCACATATCCTTTCAAGGTTCCCGTTACCCTTTGCATGGAGAGAGTAAAGGTTGAACCTTAGTTCAATGATTAAAAACATAAACAACTCTAACACCAGACCACATAATTGATTGATAGTTGAAAACTATATATGGTTGATCAACTATGAGCTATCCTGTCCTGAAGCAACATCTTTAGAAATACAGGTTATATGATTTGCACCTTTTTTTAGAGGTGTTACACTTCCTGAGGTGACTAGTGGTTCTGTCCAGTGACAGTTTCTTTTGTGATTACAGCACTTTCCTGAGGTAGCAGGGCTCTGAAAGACAGGATCATGGGATGATTCCATAGAACTTTCCTAAGGATCTCATTCTTCTTCATAAAGAATCATATTCATAACAGATTTTTTTCTTTTCTTTCTTTTTTCTTTTGCACGGTTTCATCTCATGCCAAATGTTAAAGATGATTGATCATTCATGATTTCCCAAATCCATATCCCTGTCCTGAACAAATAAAATAGTTATACTAATAGATGTCCTATCTTTATTTATTTATTAATTTATTATTCTTGAAGCCACTATACGGCATACCTTTAAATATTCTTGCAATAAATACAATAAAAAATACTCACATAAATCTTTAATGCAAAATTTCCTTTTTCTTTTCCCCCTTCCCTCAGAAGTTGTTTCATTTTCATTAGTTATTATTTAATGAATAGTATTCCTTGTTCGGATAGAATATTGAGGCAAAAGTATAATTTTAGCATTTTATTTTACTAAGTTGGTAAGTTTTAACTCTTTATCTTATATTATAACACATTTAACCCCTTATTTATTGGAATTAAAGAAAATAATCATCACTTATAATATTTTGTTAGTTCTGTTGACTGAATGTTAACTCTATTACTTGACTATTAATTGATAAAAATCTATTTTCAGTTATTTGTTAGTTAACTGTTAACTCTGTTAGTTAACTGTTAACTCTATTAGTTAACTATTAACTAAACATTAGCTAGTAAAAACTTACTTTCAATTAATAGAGTTAATATTCAATTAACATAATTAATAGTTAGCTAATAAAATTAATGAAATATTATAAAATGAGGTTATTTTTTTCAATTATAATAGGTGAGGGGCTAAAAGTATCATAATATAAGGTGGGGGACCAAAACTTATAAATCTAGTAAGATAAAAAGCTAAAAATAGGTTTTT